TGGGTGGAAGCCGGGAGGGGGGCAGGCGGACGGGAGGAGCGCGCCCTGGGTCCTCGCGGAGCAGCGGGGCCTCCTGCGCTAACCCGGCTTTGTCCCCCGCCGTAGGAACTAGCCGAGTTCGAGAAACTTTCGGATCAGGTGAAGATCCGTGAAGAAGGTTGGGGCTCAGCACCTGGGTCCTGACGGAGGCCGGGAGGAAGCGAGGGATGGGTTCCCTAGGCATTAGCTCCAGGCTGGGCACACACCCAGGCCCCTTTTCTCTCTTTGTCGCAATTACGATCGATCGGTGCAGACTTGAGGGCAGATGGCTTCGGAGAGAATCCTTTCTATCACTGTTTGGTAGCAGAGAGCCTTCCGGGCCCCGGGGAGTCACAGGGTAAGACACATCTCCCCCTGAGAGGCCTCCTCTCCAGTCAGCCTCGGGGGTGTCTGCCATGGCACCCGGTGACCTCACCTCTCGTCACTCTCTCTTTTTCAGGGCCCTGTGTGGTGGGCTACGGGCTATACTACTTCATCTACAGCACATGGAAGGGGCGCAACGTTTATCTGGAAGACATCTATGTTAAGCCGGAATACCAGGGTACAGGGCAGAGGCCCAGGCTGGGGTGGGAGGAAAGCAACCCTATAGACCTGCCCACCACCTAATCCCAGCCTATGGCCTTTTCTGATCCCCTTCAACTCACACCATCCTTCTTTTTGTCTTCTTCCTCCCATATCAGGACAGGGGATTGGTTCCAAAATTATCAAAAAGGTGGCTGAGGTGAGGAGGAGGAGGAGGCTACACGCCAGGGGTCCTGGAAAGGCAACGGTGTATGGGAGGCACGCAGCTGGAATGGAGGGTGAGAAGGCCTTTCCCAGGAAAGTTAGTGATGTCTCTTCCCACAGGTGGCCTTGGACAAGGGCTGTTCCCAGTTCCGCCTGTCAGTCCTGGACTGGAACAAGAGGGCCATGGACTTGTACAAGGCCCTGGGAGCCCAAGATCTGACTGAAGCTGAGGGCTGGCACTCCTTTCGCTTCGAAGGAGAGGTGATGAGGAAGTTGGCAGGAAAGTGACTTCATCCCTTGGGGATCTGGCTCTATTTGAGCTTCTCCTTCCCCACCAGTTCAAGCACTCTGAGTATCTCCACGGCCAAAGGCCTTCCAGAAGGAAAGAAGAGTTAGGGGTGCATATTCCTGAAGCACATAAAGAGCCAGAATTGAGGGAAAGGTCTTTCCACCTCCTTACTGAGGCTGAAAAATAAATGATAATTACTATGTCTTGATGCGTTGAGTAGAGAAGTTGTTGACTTGATATGCTTCAGCCACTTGAATAAATTTCCTCTGGTTAGTGGATGTTGCTCCTGGGGGTAAAGTGGGACCAAGATGACTTTCACCATCAGTGGGCCAGATTTCTTTCTTTTTTTTATTAGTTAAATCTTTATTGTTCAGATTATTACATTTGTTCCTCTTTTTTCCCCCATAACTCCCCTCCACCCAGTTCCCACCCCACCCTCCTCCCTCACTCCCCACCCACTGTCCTCATCCATAGGTGTACAATTTTTGTCCAGTCTCTTCCCGCATCCCCCTCACCCCTTTCCCCCGCAAGAATAGTCAGTCCACTCCCTTTCTATGCCCCTGATTCTATTATAATCACCAGTTCATTCTGTTCATCAGATTATTCACTTGATTTTCAGATTCACTTGTTGATAGATGTGTATTTGTTATTCATAATTTGTATCTTTACCTTTTTCCTCTTCTTCCTCTTCTTAAAGGATAGCTTTCAGCATTTCATATAATACAAGAAATAGAGAAATTAAGAGCAAGGGGCCAGCTCAGCATATCAGGCTTATTGGTCACATTGGGGACCCAGACAAAGGCCTCCAATGTCTGCATGAGCTTCGTGAGATCCAAGACTTGAGGCAGGCCCAGGGAGCAGGCTGCCACCTGGTGGTAGCATTTCAGGGGCACTGGCAAGGCCCACTTGCCCTAACTGAATATTTATTTATTTATTTATTTAGAGGAACAGAGAGAAACATCCATATTCCCTGACTGGGGAATCGAGCCTGCAATCTTGGTATAGTGTTCTAACCAACTGAACTACCCGGTGGCCAGTTGTCCTAAATTTTTTTTTTTTATTATTGATTTTTTTACAGAGAGGAAGTGAGAGGGATAGAGAGTTAGAAACATCGATCAGCTGCCTCCTGCACACCTCCCACTGGGATGTGCCCGCAACCAAGGTACATGCCCTTGACGGGAATCGAACCTGGGACCTCTCAGTCCCCAGGCCGATGCTCTATCCACTGAGCCAAACCGGTTTCAGCTGTCCTAAATTTTAAAAATCAACTTAGCTAGCTAGTGCTCTTTCTTTTTCAAAAGTCACAAAGCGCCTGGCGGAGTAGTCAGTCGGTTGGAGCGTCATCCTGTGCACCTGAAGGTTGCCTATTCGATTCCCTGGTTTGGTTTGATCCCTGGTCCGAGAGTGTTCGGAGGATAGCCAATCGATGTTCTCTCTCTCCCTTTCTCTAAGCATGTGCATGTCCTCAGATGAGGATTAGAGGTGAAAAAAAAGTCCCAAAGACTTTATTTTCAGTTTAGCAAAACCAAAACAAACCTTTAGGATTCATGGAGAGGAATGAATAGGCTCCTATCCTAATTTCATAACATTTTATTACACAAGTAATGTAGGTTTGTTGTAGAAAAATTGGAATGTAAATATAAAGTAATAGAATCTATATCCTAACTTACCTAACTATATTAGCCCTTTGGTATCAATTCTTCAGATTAAAAACAATTTTATTTTTACTTGAGAGAGAGGGAAAGGAGAGAGAGAGGGAATGAAACGCGATTTGTTGTTCCACTTATTTATGCATTTATTGGTTGCTTCTTGTATGTGTCCTGACCTGGGATCTGAACCTGCCTTGGCCTATCAGGGCAATGATTTACCAACCAAGCTACCCGCCAGATTTTTAAAAATGTACATATATACAGCCCTAGAAGGGTTGGCTCAGTGGATAGAGCATTGGCCTGTGGACCAAAGGGTCCCAGGTGCAATTCCAGTCAAGGGCATGTACCTCAGTTGCAGGCTCTTCCCCAGCCCTGACCCCAATCGGGGAACATGGAGGCAACCAATGTGTTTCTCTCGCATCGATATTTCTGTCTTTCCCTCTCTCTTCCACTCTTTCTGAAAATCAATAGAAAAATATCTTCAGGTGAGGGTTAACAAAAATAAATGTATATATAAACTGAGTGGCCAGATTATTATGACCACCTGACGTTTGTAGGCAAATTAGCTATAATTTCGCGCTGAAGTTGCTAGAGAGCCAGACCATTATAAAGAGGGAAGCATGCACCCCCCATGCATGAGTACAACCCTTCAAGCTGGTGGGAGCAGTGCTATGGTTTGGGGCATGTGTTCCTGTCATGATTTGGGCCCTTTAATTTGTGTGGAACAACATCTGAATAGCACAACATACCTAAGTATCGTTGCTGCTCAAGTTCATCCTATCATTTTGATGGCATATCCCAATGGAGATAGCTTCTTCCAACAAGACAATGCGCCACGCCACGGTGCTCGTATTGTGCAGGAGTGGTTTCAAGAACATGAGGGAGACTTTACCTTGCTTAGATGGCCCCCACAATCACCAGATCTCAATCCAATTGAGCATTTGTGGAACGAAGTTAAAAGAGCCATCAGGCAGCTGGTTCCACAACCATCAAATCTCACAGACCTGGACAGTGCTATTCATCAGGCATGGTGTCAGATTCCTCGCATCACCTTTCAACATCTTGTGGAGTCAATGCCAAGAAGAATCGCCGCAGTGTTGAAGGCAAAAGGTGGCCCAACGAAGTACTGATGGGGTGTTCATAATAATCTGGCCACTCAGTGTATATACCAGTATACATATAATTAAGTGTGTAGGGATTTATGAGAGCATACTCTTTTTGCAAACTTTTTTCATTTAATATATTAGGAGCATCTTCCCATGCTATTATACATCCATCATCACTTTCCATGGTGGCATGTTATTCTCTTTGTGGATGAACAGTCGGTTAAATGGTCATAATTTAGACACTGAAAGGAACAAGCAGATCACTTAAATGTGTAAATTGTAAGAAACAATCTATGAATGTCTAGAAAGTTGAAGATCCATCTTAAAAAATTCGAATGAGCCCTAGCTGGTTTGGCTCAGTGGATAAAGCATTGGCCTGTGGACTGAAGGGTCCCAGGTTTGATTCCCGGTCAAGGGCACATGCCTGGGTTTTGGGCTTGATCCCCAGCAGGGGGCGTGCAGGAGGCAACCAATCAATGATTCTCTCCCATCATTGATGTTTCTTTCTCTCCTCCCTTCCCCTGAAATCAATAAAAATATATTTAAAAAAAAATACAATTCAGTCCTAGCTGGTCTGGCTCAGTAATTAGAGCGTCAGTCATGGGTTCAATTCTGGTAAAGGGCACATGCCTCAGTTGCAGACCCAATCCCTGGGTCTGGAGGCAACCAATCATTGTTTCTCACTTCGATGTTTCTCTCCGTTTCTCCCCCTCCCTTCCACTCTCTAAAAATCAATGGGAAAAATTGTGAGGATTAACAACAACAAAAATATGATTCAGTAAAAGAGAACACTTCAGGGTCCCCAATTTAAAAAAGAATTTTAAAAAATATTTTTATTGATTTCAGAGAGGAAGGGAAAGGGAGAGGGAGAGATAGAAGCATCAATGATGAGAGAGAATCATTGACTGGCTGCTTCCTGCCTGCCTCCTACTGGAACAACCTATCTCTTTCATTCCTAGGTATCTACCCAAGAGAAATATCCATAAAAGACTTATATATGAATGTTCATAGATATCCTATACAATAAAAGACTAATATGAAAGTTGACTGAATGGTGGAACAACTGGTCGCTATGACACACCCTGACCACCAGGGGGCAGATGCTCAACGCAGGAGCTGTCCCCTGGTGGTCAGTGCTCTCCCACAGGGGTAGCGCTGCTCAGCCACAAACCAGGCTCACAGCTGGTGAGCTCAGCATCAGTGGAAGGAGCCTCTCCCGCCTCTGCTGCAGTGCTAAGGATGTCTGACTGATGACTTAGGCCTGGGACTAAGCCGTCAGTTGGACATCCACCGAGGGCTCCCGGACTGCTAAAGGCCGGGCTGAGGGACCCCCCCACCCCCGCCCCCATTACATGAATGTTGTGCACCGGGCCTCTAGTCAGTATATAATACATAAACAATCAAAAATTGGAAGAATGAACTATATCTCAATTTTTTAAAAGACTTTGAAAAACTGAGGAATAATGCAAACCGACTTTGTTGATGAGCCTGATCAAACAGGTTTGGAGGAAAATGTTCTAGGCGCGAGGGGCCGGAAGTGAGATGGCTGTGTGTGTTAAGAGCTCCTTCCGAGGAAAAGCAGACATGCAGCGCACCCCTGGGTGTGGGCAAAAAGCGGGAAGGAGGGGAATGATCTCTGTTGTTCAGCCTGGGAGACGGGCAGGGAGATCTATTCCCGTGGGAGATATGGATGCAACATATATATATATATATATATATGTATATATATGTATATATATATATATATATTTCAAAGAGAGGAAAGGAGAAGGAGAGAGGTAGAAATATCATCGATTGGCTGCCTTCTGCATGCCCCCTACTGGGGATAGAGCCTGAAACCCAGGCATGTGCTGTGACGGTGAATGGAACCATGACCTTCTGATTCATGGGTTGATGCTCAACCACTGAGCCACATGGGCCGGGATCCTCCAAACGTTTGTTTCCTGTGTTCTCTCTTCAATGACTGGCATTGCCATCCACTCGCTAACCCAAGGTAGAAATCTGGTAGTTGTCCTGTGTTCCACTTCTTCACTGGCTCTGACTTCATTTTACCCCACCTTCATCACCAATTCTTGTTGACTCTACTGCAAATTTAGCAGGCTCCAATCAACCTGTACCCCAGATCCATGTAGGTCCACAGCATCTTTCTTACCTGCAATGGCTCCTTACAGGTCTCACCACCTTCAGGACCACTCTTACTCTTCGATCTGTTTTCCACAGTTATAGAATGTATGTGGCTTAGAATCTTTCAGTGGCTTTCCATTACTGATAAAGTAAAAGCTATTCTTCGTAAACTGATCTGAAATCCTGCACAATTAAACTTTTTTTAAAAAAATATATTTTATTGATTTTTTACAGAGAGGAAGGGAGAGAGATAGTTAGAAACATTGATGAGAGAGAAACATCGATCAGTCGCCTCCTGCACATCTCCTCCTGGGGATGTGCTCAAAACC